CTAAGCCTGCTGACCTTGTCAAACGAAAAGAGGTGGTGTCGCAGGGTAGAAAGGCTCATTTGGCACCTAGGGATGGTGACAGCTTTGAGCACTGGAAGGCCACCATCAAAGGGCCACAGGAGGGTATCCGGTCTATGGGGCACCGGGCAAGAATCTGTTTGCTTCAACTTATATAAGCCTAGGTTGGAGGCCATCGCTATTAGGTGGAGGCCATCGCTCTTATATAGGTTTATTAATCTATATATATACCTTGGTAGGCCGTGAGGTAGCTAACAAGTAGTAGCTAGTAGTAAGGGGTAAGTAGTAGCTAGAATGCCACTACCTAGAACGCCGGAAAGCACACGCTATTCATGTGGTTCCTAGATTAGATAGGCATGTGAGTGATTGACTTTGTTGATTGCCTTTCAACTAAACATCAATCACAGCGTCACTCCACATCGGTTTCGAATATTTCAATTATCTCAAAGCGGCATGATCTTATATTCTTGCAAACGGATGTCACGATTGAATACCCGCATCTCAACTGTCAACTGCATCGCAACTGTTGAATACCTGTCTGCATTGAACGCCCGGGTAGGACTCGCCCTATGAGGGAGGCCGCTTCCAGATGAAGATCGTTTGCTCGGCCAGCTATCCATATGCTGCGCCTCAGGCAGGATCCATAGGAAGATGCGTTGAACTTCGTATGGTCATACTCTTGCCTTCAGAGGCAAAAACAGCACCACCGGAGGGCTTTGATTGGATTGTCATGCGTTAGATAAGGGTTTATAATTCCAAGCATACACTGAAAGCAACTGTTCCTAAAAGGTATAGCTTGGCAGATTGTGCTGCAGACAGGTTTTGGGAGCTTGGACTGTGCCAGGTTTTGCTTCACAACTTCACAAGCAGACAGTTTTGTCATGACCACAGCGAATTTGTGGAATGAAGTTAGGATATGTTTGGACGACACTTGCATGTGGCCTTTGTCGCTGACCCTTATATGGGGTGCATGTCTACAACTCTTGGAAGGGTGCCTGTTTTGCTCGCTTCATCACCAGCAGACAAGACATCAGAGGACTGCCATTGTCCTATGACTCTCTTCAAGTTTTGTTGAGGTCTCGCCGATGTTCTCGTGACGCCCTGAAGGTGAGCTTTGAGACCAAAGTGTTTCATCCCAACGTGAACTTCAACACGGGAGAGTTTAATGCTCAGGTGGACTTTGGCATGACCTCTTGCGACATGTCAAGAACCCATGGCACTGCGCAACAAAAGTGCGAAGTCTTTGGAACAGGTACAAATACTGAGGTTGAAAATGAAGGGAAGGTGGTCAACTGTTCCAAATGCTTCAGATTGTATATGCCAAAGGGTAATGAAGCTCAACCCTAGACCACAAGAACATGTGTTATTTGACATTGGTTTCATAGGCTTTGGAACATTGTTGGAGATGCAGCTCTGAGGACGCCAAAAATACAGTAGCCCTAGTCAGTGATCGCACACGGAAGACCATAGACGAAACGTGTAAAATGCGACAAAGGAGAGATAAAGATAAACATGTCAAGAAAGACCAACACAGATGGATGGAAGAACAATGATGGATGAGGTCACTGAACAAGACAAGACATCAACGACTTGGAGACTCGACATGCAGAAGTAAGGAATGCATTGCAAACGTATATACCTGAGACCATGAGAATGGAATCAACTTGAGCGGCATGTATGGCAGAAAAGGAACGGATGCAACCACAGAAAGAGTTTTGCAACAACCTATTCTCTAACATCGTGGAAGGTCCAGGACATTCGTGGAACCCAGGGGCTATTCGTGGACGTTTCGTGGAATGGTAGCCAATAGGAAAACTGACTGCAACAAAGACCCACAACCTTCGCAGAACTTCGTGGAAGGTATTTTTGATGCACTAACTTTGTATAAGCCATTTTTGCTGAACCCCTTTCTCCACACACCCTCCATTTAGCCTTCAGGAGTACACAAAAGCAGACACACCAAGACAAGCGGAGAAATGAGGGAACCAGCAAGGCACCGCAAGAAGACCAACAGTGCCTGAACACGATGAGTCTAGTGTTTCACGATGTTTCACATCCGAATAACAAATTTTTGGCAGAAGCAATGCAAACCTCAAGTTCTGCAAGTCTATCTATGTATGAATTGAGTTCAAAGACGTGTTGAACCTGGTTGTTGTATATATAGAACTCGTTAGCTTTCTACCGTACACTGTAGGTTGCATTGCTTTCCAAGACTTGAACAACTCAAACTAAAACGACCTCGTTCATTTGATGGATCTAGGCTTTGTGTGGACATCTTGAAGACGGATTGGAGTCCTGCATGGACCCTGCAGTGTCTTGTCATGCCTCAGTAGAAGAAGCCTCTATCACTCCTGCCACCTTGTGGGCTCAGTTGGGCCAAGTGCAACAGTACCAGCAACCATAAACAGGGTGTCATGATACTTTGTTAGACATCCTATTCTCCCGAATCATTGGTGCACTGCTGCAAGCACTTGTTGCAATGTGTTGTAAGGTACGTTTGCAGGGCTGTCGTCTCATTGTTGCAACAGCCTGAGCTTGAAAAGATGAACGTGCCTAGCAGCCTAGCAAAGCAACTAATTTGTTTAAATGGATTGACCAGGCATTTGAAGATCAATCCTCAGTCACTTGGTCATTTTGCAGAGAGTGACCGGGAGACTCCACCCAAGCGTCATACACCAGGTTGGCCTCGTTTTGATGGGGATACGGATGTGTCCCATCAATATCTTGGTTTGACTTCAATTCCACCTTTAATTCAAATCGTCAGTACTGTAAGGCGGGATCCGAACGCCGACAGCCCGCTGAACTGCGATGCTGGAAATCTTTTGAGTGTTGCCGGCTATGCTTTCTTTAGTGCGGTGAACACAGGTTAGCACATTCGTTGTGAAATTTGCAGCTTGCGAGGCATAGAAATGTGTAGTTTCCGCGCCCTCTCAAAAGAAATAAACACCAGTGGCACTGTTTGTGCTTTAGGTGCGCGGCAGCCCTGAAAGAGATTATTGATCAATATGGTTTCAAACGCTTTCAGGCACGTCCTGGAAAAAAAGCGAAGCTGTACAGCATGCGTTTGAACTGCAGGATCCAAGAAGGCACTCTATTATGTCGAGACATTCTTTGGATCCCAGTCCATACATTCCAGTACCAATTCTCAGCTTCCACAGATGCTTTGCTGTTTGGATGTGTGGGATTCATGCACCTGAGTATAGTTTGTGATTATTTGTAGAAGATGTTCAGAGTCAAGATGCCACTATGGTGCTTTTGTACTCGTTAGATCCTCGTCATTGATGTCACCTAGTTCTGCAATCTGAGGCTGCAAACACAAGGGCAAGATATGGCAACACAACCTCCACAACATTCTTTGTGGCTGGATGTTTTAGACCATGCTGGAGATGCTTGTGTTTGTGTTGCTTTCTCGGCTCATATTCTCATTGTTTTGTTTCTGATATATTTTGTGCTGCAATTTTGGTGTTGAAGGATTGTAGGAGATGAGAATCTGTTGCTCTACAGGGTATGTATGGATGGAAACGGGATGGCACGCTTTTGCTCTACGCATGCAACTACAACCAAAACACACTAAGCTGCGCTGAAAAGTCAGCTTCCCCGCGCAATGCTTCCGTGTCGATCTAGGTGGAGATGTAAGCAAGGGCTTCATGTGTAGTCAAAAAGCACCTTTGAGTCTCTTCCCTGACAAAAGTAAGACAATGTTCCTTCCTGTCGCTTTACCAGATAAACATCATTTGGGAACAGAGACTATCTTTGCCCCGCGTCCGTTGTGATGCTTAATACCCACAATCATGTTCACAACAACGCCAATCAATGAAAGTTGGCACAAGCTCATGGTGGCAATCCAATAGCAAAAGCTGTAAGTGAGTAATTTCTGAAACGTGCATCCATTGGATACTGCTGGATTTGCTCTCATCTCAGGTCTCGTGGTTAGCAAGCTTTTCAAATGACCTACAGGGGTATTTAGTTTAGTTGCTGTAGACACCACAATCATCCTGCCAGGAAGTGGCGACCTGAAGGGTTTTCATTCTATGGCTCGCATGTGACAGCCTGAGTAGAGGAAATGGAGCCAAGAAGCATCACCAATTGCTGGATTGACGCATTCCGAAAGTCATTGACGTTGCGTGGGTAGGTTTGGTTGGCAGTTGGCACTGGTCTCGAGTTTCGAGTCGGGCAGTTCACTGCAGTCGACATGTAACGCAGGAGCTTGTGCATTCGGCGTGTAGCAGTTTGCACTCACTGCACTCTGAGGAATGTAACGTTTTGTCATTTTGTCAGTGTCAGCCCTGTTTTTTTTTGACATAACTAGCTATCTCACAGTAACATCGAAACTGTAAGGCTTGTGGGCACTTGCCCTGCCACAGCTATTCGATGGCAGTGTCAACCACTTGTGATATGGCACGGTGGGTTGAGCGTTTGCAACAAAGTGGACTAGTTTCGTGCAACATGTTTTGAACTAAAATGCAGCCTCTGGAAGTCAATGAAGAACTTCAGACATATGGGCCCACTTCAATTTGAAACTTCATCACAAGATATCACAAAGAATCCGCACCTAAAAGGTAGGCAACCAACACAACTATACTGAAGGGAGATTCTGCTTGTGTCAGGATAGGGAAAATGTCGCGACCAAACAATTAAGAGCGATGTGGCCTCCAACCCACTAGCGATGGCCTCCAAGCTACTAGCGACCAAACATTTACTGTAGAATTTTTATGAATTTTTAGAAAGCATAGTAGATTGAACTGTCATGAATGCTATTGCCATAAGCTGCCTGTCCGAGGTACACCATGGAGTATGCCATAGAGCGGTGAGTCCCCGCACAGTTGCGGTTTCACCAGAGAAAGACCTCAGCGAGAGTGCTTCTTTTGAAGCTTTCGTTGAAAGTTGAAAGATGGGCGAAGGAGCATGACGGAGCTACCTCTCGCACCAATATATCTGTATAGCTATGGTGTGAACATGATTGCCTGAGTAATATAGCGTAGGAATGCGTAGGAGAGCAGAGCAATTCCATGCAATCCGATGCTCCAATTGCAGATGCCACGGACTTTTCCAGAGTTTTGCATGTTTCATACATCCGCAGGCAAACATTTCTGGCTCGACTCTATTTGCTCGAGAACTTTGGACAGGTGACATGGACAGTCGGTCAGTGGCGCAGAGGACAGCTGATTACCACCTTTGTGAAAAGCACATGTTTGTCGGACCAACAGTGTATGCATCATGCATGCTATGAGCTGGTTGGTTTCTAGCCCACACTGTCACAACTTGGCCAATCAGGAAGCTTGATGCTCTGCTGCAGAAAGTCCGTCGTGAAACTGATGAGAAGAAGCAGCTGCAGATCTGGACAGCCGCAGCTTGCTGCAAAGCAAATCATGGTGGCTAGCACTGGGGGAACATCCCACTGCTCAGACGCACTTTTCCTTGCACCCATATCTTTAGGACTTAATTTTGAGGATTTGAGCACAGGCCCAAGCAACAAGGAGCTGTAAAAGGCTTCCTACATGTCAGATGTCATTAACACAAACCCAAATTTATATAGAAATACATAGAACGAAAGCACATCTAATAATCTTTGACATCGCTGAAAAGCAGAAAGACCAGAAGGGGGAGTGAACCCAGAGGTGGAGCCAAGTCGCAGCTCAAGGAATCATTGGGGAAGGTTTGTTTTCTCAAGGAAGCTGTAATCCGCGATGCCGACATCATAAAGGTAGCTATCATCAAAGCAGGAGTGAGGTGCTGAATAGATTGCCATCCAGTGGCATGCGGCAAAAACTCATTGAAAGTTGCAAAGTCCCATGCGATGCTTCGCACGGACCTGCTGTAGGTCATCATCCCGGCTGAACACACTAAAGGAGTCCACCATATATTCGCACTATCACTCCGCGATGAGTACTGCCCGCACCAGGTGCATGAAGCAGGTTTGTGGAATCGCTGCGAACGCTGCAGGTACCCGGGTAGGTAGGGAAGTCACAGGCCGAAGAAAAGTGTAAGCCCACAGTGGTGGAGGCCAGTCAAAAGAATCTACTGTACGTAGTGTTGGCGGCTTTTATAATCTGAGCGGATTCAGATGAACCAGGGGATAACAGCAGCCAGATCTTTGGGACAAGGGGTCAGATTTGGGTCAACTTGGCCCAAGTAAGCCCCACGAGGAGCCCATGTTCCGAAGATATGACCGGGGATCATCCAGCGCAGCTGATTTTATTGTGTCGGCAACACTTCCTGTCGAAAAGTGATGGTTTTGAGCGGCCCTCCTCTCCCGAATTGGCTCCTGGATACGCACTGCGAAGGCTTGTCGCAAAGAATAGAAGGAATAAACACCTGAATCAAGTATAATCAAGCTTGGGGAGCATGATGATGGAGTCAGACATGGAAAGATTAAGTGTTTTAATGAACCTCTACAGCAGCTTGAGATGCAGGCGCAGTGAGTTAGCTTCATGGGAGGTGGCCTGGTTGGTATGTTCAAGAGATGTAGCCCCAAAACGTCCAACACAGGCGATTCTATGCGCCCGTAAAGCACCTCAAAAGCTGAAGGTTTTGTCAACTATTTCCGGCACTTGGGGCCAACTTCAACCATCTTGGACAACTTAGTGCAAGTTGGGTCCAACTTGGGGCAAGTAGTGGCAAACTTGGGCAATGTTGCCCCCAAAGATGGCGTCATGTTCCGAAGATGTCATCCCAAAAAGTAGTAGATAGCCGCCTTATGCATTTTTGCAAGTAGTTGGGGCCAACTTGGGCCAATTGGGGACCAAGCACTCTATTGAAACAGAGTCAAAACTGAAGGTTTTCTGCACTTTTTGTCGGCCTGTGACTTCCTCAAATGCCCCACTAGCTAAGCTAAGTGAGCACTAAACGATGTGCTATTGGGCCGATATTACAACACGAGTTTCTTACACCTCAGCATGTTCAACAAATTCAAGAGCTTCTTAAAAGATCTTAAAAGCCACTGTGTTCTTGCACTCCTACTCATTGCTATGTTCGATGAAAGCTCAAGAAGGAATCCATGCGGTCATTTGTTCCAGGATGCCTTTCGTGTCTTGCGCCCAGGAAGCAACAAAAATCATGAGAGCTTGGAAGAGTACCTTGGTATCTGTCAACAACCTGTGCATATGTTTCTGCTATACAAGCAAGATATCCACTGGAACTGCCCCATTTCATGAACAGTAACATGAGCTCGAATCAGTTGTGTTGAGGCAACTTGACATGCCCACTCAAGCAACTCAGAATTGGCTGCATCCTCATAGCTAACTTATCTATTACCACTACATCGAATTTGAAGTCAGAAAGTCTATTACTGTATATAAGTTATGTTTCTGTCAACCAGCCAAGCTTTGGGAGGAGGGTTGACTTGCTGTACAAGCCGGAAATGGGAGAAGCAGTATGTAAGCGACTAGGGATACAGATGATAAATGCGACCCGGCAAGTGGTGACTTGTACGCACAGATTGACCCAGAACCAAATGGTTTATTTCCTCCCACTGAAGCCACTAGATTCTATCCCATACCAAGGATATAAGGAATAGTAAGCAAGGAGTGTTGCCTATAGCCTGCGGCAAAGGTTGATAGTTGTTTGCATCATGAACAGGAGCTGTTCAACCATTTGGTCCGAAACAATCCTTGAGGCAAGCCTCAATATGCCACGTCAACATTGTTCTTTTTGGCATCCAGCCTGCGAACTTCTGCACTGGCATCACACACCTTGGAGCTAATGCATTCATATGGCATTGCGAGGAGTATTGTCCTTGGACAGCAAGAGTTCATGTGGGAGTTGCCACCTAGAAGAGGCAGCAACTGGACAGACAACTAAGAAGTGATATACTGAAGCCTGGACAGTCGCAGGGACGCAGTGATAGGAATCACAATTTCTTGCTGTTGAAGTGTGACACTTGCCAAGTTGGAAATACTGTACGACAAGTCACCCTTTGTCCTTTGAGCTTTTTGGACAGTTGTTCAATGTTGTTCACAACATGCAGAGCAGCTTCCCGATTCTGTCAATCAGAAGTGGGAAGTATATACATCACATGGACCACTCATGAAACCATTGAATCCATTTACAGGCCCAAATGGTAGCATCTTTGGACATGTCAAAAAAATTGTTCTTTTGTGCACTTGACCTGCTGGCAAGGGTGCCAAGGCGATGCTCAGGCCCCAAGAGTACTGCATGACACCAGAAGAGCTTTGCATTGTTTTCAAAGCAACCAACGAACTGAATTATGCAACCACCAACTCAGGTTCACTATACCACAGTGATCTCAGTACTTGGACGACACTCAGACTCTTGATCGTTAAGCAAATTTCTACCTGATTCTACCTTTCAGCCTTTGGGCATGCCACAAACAATTCATGTGAGGCTTTCCTTGATGATGCTTGAAGAATGTCCGACATGACATTCCTCTTGTAACTGTTTTAATCAATCGAGTCACGCCATTTCTCATGTGCTTCCCTGTAACGCCTTAAGCCCCGGTCTGTTGTCGCAATCAGCTTGACTTAAACTAACATAGGATGTGCTATATATTTCCTGAGCAAAGTTTGACAAGTTCCAGATTCCACAAGAGCACAGAGCACAGGGAAAGGATTTCATTCTTTTGCATTTTTTTGTTGATGTCTTGGCATGTTGACATGCGCCGTTCTGGAACAAGTTCAATGGAGTTGGTACGAATCCCAAAAGCTGATTGTTTTGAGACACCAAGGACTGGCAAGGTGCTCTTGATTTGATGCTTCACTTGCCGGAGGACTGCTAGTGTTCGCTCTTGGTTTCTTACAAGCGAGAGTTTGGTAGCGAGAGTTTAGTTTTAAACATGGAAGAAACTAGACCATGGGAGCAACTGACCTACTTGATCCTACTTGCAAGTTGCAAGCCTTGACGCTTTGTATTGTTTTATTTTGTTTTTTGTTGTTCAATGCTTTACGTAGTCAAGTGCTGAAGTGTTCTTAACACTTGATGCCCGCATATACTGTAGTTTGTACGTCCGTGTGTGCGGTCGGCATCCAAGGGTGCCCTGGCACCAAAGAAGAAGGAGACGAAGAAGAGCAAGACATAGACTAGAATAATCAGCCTGTTTGAACTCCTCTGCGAGGCGGTTTGTGCTTGATTTAAACAACTTACATACCGAAGTTGTCCGCAGGACGTTGATGCAAATATCATCACCTTTAATAGTGTCTCAAGCTTCTATTCGTCTCCTCCAAAGAAACACTTGAAACTTTAGACTGTAGCATGGCCCCACCACGTTGACACTTGCTTCTAATGATTTTATTGCTTTGGAGAAGACAATAATAGTAGTTGTTTTGTTTTTTGTTATAAAAAATATATTATATATATATATTTATGCGGATTGGTTGAAGACCATGTACTATATATAAATTACATATCCATATATGCTTCATTCGTCTCTCAATCGCCCTCAAGCAAATCGACTTGAGCTCATGAAGCATTACAGTATTTACATTGATTGCCAACAGCTTTCTGATTTTCTACCATGACTGTTCAGGTATGATTAGTGCCTTTTCCTCCGCACAGCGGTGGACCCTGGCCTTGCAGATTGCTGGTATGGCCTCGACAGGTGGGGTATCATTTGATGCTTGTACCTGTTTCAGTGACGTTTCAGCGTCAGTACCTCCGAGTTATTTTGTTATAATCTTTTCTGGATATGGTAAGTTGCGTATCTCGTTTGTAGTCCGAAGTATGCCTCACACAACTGAGGACATGATCACAAGGAATTGCTGCTTGGCAGCTTGTGCCCTTGCCAGGAAATTGGGCTCTGTTCGTGTTTGTATCATCTCCGGTAATATGTCGAGATGCAAGCTTCCACTACTAGACACCACCCACGCATGTATATAATTGTACATGTGAGCATAGAATTACACTCACACAGACGCACAATGTATGTGTTGCTTGTCACACATGTGCAAATGAGCCTGGCTTGAATTCAACTTCACTGAGAGCTCCGGGACACCGCTTTGAGAGTGTACTCACCAGTGCTTGTGTACTTCAATGATTTCTGTGAAGCTATGTTTGGATGCTTATGTGATCTATTCGTAGATGCGCAGTACCTGTAATGTTGTATTTGCAGAGTCAGGCTATCAGCAATGGGAAAGCCATTTCCACGTATCGAAATTGGACATATTCGCAAGACCTTGGTTTTGCGCTTACTCACCAAGTCAAGAGACTGTAAACTGTAATGTGTGTGTGTTTGTTTGTACACAGGATTGTCAGGGTATCAACAGTTCTGTTTTTTTTTGGTCTTTGGGCAAATTGTAGTGGCCCACAGTCTTGTCAGTTGCTTGTAATGAGTACAACTTCCATGCTTTGACGCCGCCATTGTATTCAGGTGACAAAGGTGAACAATGGCAGATGGCATTTTCTCAAATCAAGGGCCTTACAACGACCAAGCTAGAAGTCGACACCATCAGCTGCAATTCCTCTTTAAGCTCCCTACAGAGTGTGCTTTTTTGGCAACTTGGTCTAAGTTCCTTTGATCGCATGAGATCATCATTTGCACATCCTGACCAATTCTCATGCAGCTTGCTGATTGGGACTTGCCAGCATTCATGGGCAAGGGCCTGTGAGGAACTGCGGAGGATGCCATTATGCCGCATTGCTTTGACTCTCGGCGATGACAGGAAAAGGTCTTCGATACAACCACTGATACCGTCTCAACAAAACTAGTTCAGGCGGCATAGCAAGAGTCATCGCGATCTATAAACGCACACATGTCACATGCCCGAGACGCTCCCTTGCCAGTGTGGCTTGCATATCAACTGCCCATTTGTCACGATGAGCTTGATCAAAGGGCCTGAAATGGACAGCAGTTTCTTCATTCTTTCAAGATTCAAGATTAATGTCAGCAATGAGACACCCCTTTCATCACTGACATTGGGGTGTTGAAAGAGTATACTCATCTCCGTGCAGACATTCCTCCCACATTCACATACTTCTCGCTTCAACCCTCCTGTTTGCTCTGGGGGATTGTCTTTTTTGCATCCAAGGAATGAAGTGGTTTGTGGCACATCGATGAACTGCTTTGAAAAAAATACGGGCTGGCAGAGACCGATTTGCTTTGATACACTTTCTTTGTGCTTTCCCCCCAGCACACGCACATTGACCTTTGTAATCCTTCGTGCAGTCATTGCCTGTTTGCGAAACGCAAAACAGGCTCGATTTGACTGATTATATTTATATGCTTATTTCAACTTTAAGTGTTTTCCTGACCATTTTCACCGAATCGAAGGCAGGTGTCAGTTCACCTCGTTGACGGGATGATATCTCAACGAGTAAGGCTCGCACAACCTGGCGTGAGCGTCCAATCAGACGACTCAGCCTGAGCGTCCAATCGCATAGTAGGATGTGTCACACTAAGAACTTCAACCTCATATTTCATGCCTCCCAGACACAGAAGAGTGCTTCAATACTTTGGCCCAACACTCTCAAAACCTGTTGAGACCATTTTCGTACTGTCAGGGCCAATGCCTACATCCGTAATTCTGTTCTCTCAGCGTTGGAAAGAGCCTGCAGCTGGCCAGAAGCTATAGTCACTTGCCACCAGGGAGGTTTTGCCCATTGCATAGTGACCGTTATTTATGTTTTGTAAAGAGACACAATCGGGATGTGCCACAAGACAGGAAGATTCTTTCTAACTCGGGATTGCATTGAGGCATATTTCCATCAGATTCCATCACCAGACGAAGTGACCTTTGCTGCATGCATCAGCGCATACGGCAAAGGCAGTCAGTGGGAACATGCCATTCGTTTCTTGGAAGCATTCATACATGTAGCTGCACTCTGCAATACCATCAACGGCTGTTGGAACGAGAATTGCTTGCCCATGTCGGTTGCCAAGTAGCCGCTGGAGGCAACAGATTCAACAGGGTTGTCCACAAAAAGTGCGAACTCAACAGCCCAAAGCTTACATAAACAACCTGTTTGACAAAGCACAAGATCGAGCACAAAAACAAGAGTGAGCACAAAAGAAATGATTGCCAACAAGAGGCAGGAAGGCCAACATTATCTTCCAGTCTTCCAGTCAAGTGTTTCATCCTGCCTGAAAATACAATGGCCAACTCCAATTCAAGGGTCTGAAGACAATGAAGGCCTTGGTTGTCATCCTCAAAGCAAAGAGGCTTGAGCGCGGTCGTTTTCAAGCTTGAGGTTTGCTTGATTCAATGGCAAAGCAAATCGTCTTGCCCAACACTGTGACTCTTGGCTATCAGTCGATGCATATATTTCTGTGACCTATGCAAACTCCTGGAAGCTACCTCTACAAATTGCCACATGACTTTGGTGAGGTGTGCTTACCCCGCTTCCGCGAACACTAGATCAGATCAGAGTGGAGGTGTAGTGGGGCTGCAAATGCCAAGTTTCTTGAGAGCACAACATTAACACCTGAGAGTTCACATGCTGGATAATCTTTAGAACAACCATTGATTTGTAACCACTGTGAATAGACCGGCAATCAGTATGTGATTTCCGTCTCAGGATTTGCAACGCTGCAATGGATGCATGTGCAAACGCAGGGCTTCGGGTCGTGCTTCCCTTGATGGAGGTGCAGAAGGAATCCGATACCGTTACATACAACATCCTCATCAATGTTTGCAGCATTGATGGAGAGTGGCAGCTTGCAATCCATTTTTTATTTGAGATGCGTGAAGATCAATCACCAGACGTTATTAGCTTCAATTCTGCCATCAGTGCATGTGAGAAGACTGGGCAGTGGGAATGTGCTGTGGCTTTGCTATCTTGCATGCTTAATGATTCGATTGAACCCAATCACATCACGTTGAGCTCAGTTTTGAGTGCCTCAGTAGGTCGCTGGGACGTTGCTTTGTCCTTGTATAGTTCCTTGACCCAAACAAATCTTGTCCCCAATGCCATTGCATGTAATGCTTTACTGGCCACCTTTGAAGCTGGAGGCCGGTGGTGTTGGGTGTTGAGCTTGTTTGAGGACATGGCTCAGCTTGAACAAGTTGACGCCATCACCTATAGCCTTGCTCTTACTGCATGCCTAAAGGCGATGCAGTGGCAAAGGGTTCTCGAGATCCTCCCCAAAGGCGGTGAAGCTTTGGACGTGTATTCTTGCAAGGCTGCCATCGGTGCTTGTGCAATAGGTGCCCAAGCGATGTTTGCCATGCCCCTTTTGGAGAAAGTCTCCTTCCTTGGATGCGTCATGCTGCAAACATGTGCAAAAGAGGCCCACCCACAGTTGCTCCTCTTTGGCAGGGTCACGTGAAGAAAGTCTTGCTCCCATAGCTCCTCGGACTCGGACCTTTCAGATTCAGACAAGCCAGCATCTTACTGTCACGGAATTTGCAACTGTCGAGAATGAAGCCTTCTCAATCGTTTGGGCTTGGGTCCTGGAAAGTCCATGGGCACGTTCAGGACACGTCGGCCTCGAATTTTGCAGGCATATTTTGTTGGAATGTTATGAGCATAATTTTGCTGTGTCCGAGGCCAGTTTTTATAATACCCACTGTGGCAAGGAGGTACACAAATACAATCAAATACAATCTTCTTCACCATTGATTGCAGCAACACCCTTCCCACGACGCCCGTCATGTTAGTGGAGCCCCTAAGAAGAGTCGAGAAGAGGTGTGCAATCCAATCGCTGCATACTCGATACATGCTTGTGGCTGCATTGTGGCTCCAACAGACAAATATTTCAGGTGAGCATTCAATGTCACCTGAGGCAAATAAGACAGCTACGTATAGCTGTGAGTGTCCAAATCATTTCCCGTGCAGGCATTGATAAAGGCATACAACAGAGCAGCAATATTCTGTTTCACCAAAACTCGGTGAGCCATGGTGATGCACTGAAACAAGTTGCAACCACTGGCTTTCCTGCAACAGGTGTATGAGATTTCACAAAGTCCTACTGCAATATACTACTATCACTACACATATATTTGCTGTTTCACTCTCTTTATCAGGACTCGCAGGCATGCTTGCGCAGACAGTGGGTGGGGCAGGGTGATACTGTTCTACAGCAGCGCTTTTGTGACAGTCAAATTAACGTTTGCTTGAAGTATTCTTAAATCTCTTAGTTTATTTTGCTTTGGTGTCACAGCAAACCTGGTCATGGTTCTTGTTATTTGAGCATCGAGGCCAGCATGACTGACTCTTATACTTTGTAAGGGCAGGTGAAGACGCGACAGACCACCCGACCCGCGACCTTCGTCGGCCAAGAATTGCCTGAGCTTACTTTACGCATTAGGTTTCTCCTTCGGCGTCCTTTGGTCTTGGGGAAGTGCTGGAACACACGCTATGGTGTCAGGAAAATCAATACACTTTGTCCGTCAAGTTGACAAGGCACCGAAAGTGTTCTGTGTGTTTCTGTGTATGATGTGGCTCATTGCTCTATATTCAACTCTTTCCAACAAGTGGTCGCATTCCTCGAAGCTGCTAATGTATGTATAAATGGGTTTCCAAAATTGGTCTTAAGGCACTGTGAACACAGGACCAATAGATTCTGTTCGGGCATTGCTGATAGCACAGTCCCAAACAGCTTAGGGCTCCGTCAAGAAATTAAGAAGCCGAACAATTTCGGACCCAACATACCGTAGAAGTCCTCAATATCTTTTCAATGGTTGGGGGATCCGAGCGCAAAAGACCCTTGAGCATCACTTCGGTACAGCTAAAACATATGGCCGTAGGCACACAGCCACTGGGCAAAAATCCATGTTGGAGCTTTGTGGTGGCACGTGGTGTTCCAACGGCTTTACGAACTGTCTACTCTCTGCTCTGTCGTCTTGGAGTTGGTGCTTCAATGCTTCAGTGAGGACAACCAGGACCACCTCCACCGACAACAGCACCAGCACCACCAGCGCAACAGTGCCCACCACCTCCACCGACAACACCAGCACCGCAGACCGCAGATGCAACAGGCCCCCCTTCATCGATCGACTGGTTGGTGAACTGAAGCAAACGATCATCCGCATATACCCAGCGGAGACCCCGTCAAACCCACTGCAGGCCGATTTCATGGTCAGGGCTGAGGCGCAGTGTTCCTGAGTGTTTCTGCGTTTTGATCCATGCAGAATTAGTCTTGAACAGCAAAGCTGAGTTGACATTTCTCTCATATAGAGGACCAATCAGGGCGAAGCATGGTTCGCGGGACGAGAATTCATGGAATTCCTAGACTTCCAGTTGGAGGGATTTCCATTTCAAGACTGTTTGGATGTGTAGATGTGTGTAGGTATGCTGTGGTAATTTTGGGGTTGGGAGTGTGCTCATGTGTGCGGTTGAGACTTCGCTCTTCAGGCCGACGGACGAGGTGCCCCTGTCGAAGTTCAGAGTTGGAACCAATGGTCCTAGTAGTGAACCTTGTTACTACTAGTAAGGCCAGGAGCCCCTAGTAGCTTCTTGCTCCTAGTAGTAAGGCACTTGTTACTACTAGCTTCTTGTCACTACTACTAAGGCACTTGTTACTAGTAGCGATGCACTTGTTCCTAGTAGCTTCTTTGTTCTTTTTGGTTTTGGAAGTTGGGAAGATTGTTTTTGGAATTCTATGTTACCCAATGTTTTAGGTTAGCTGCCCACCAAAGCAGCGCAGCAACCACTGGTAGTTAATCAAGTATGAAAAAAGTAGGTATTACTATAAGTGCAAGCAACAATGAGATCAGTGCCTCGGGGATTCCATGGGAAGAATTGGGATAATCGGCAGTGGCATGCAGTGGCGAGTTTTGAAGACCTTGTTTCAATCAATCTCTTCACATGAATGAATGCTTATGAGATCTTATGAGTCTTATGAGTTGTAATATGTGTGCCTTTGATCCACTGGCTATCAACGGTTGGATTGGGGTTTGGAACCTATGCTCTTGAAGTTTACCCCACACGCACGCGAGATTGTACTTTGCTTTGTATGTGGCGATTAGGAAGTAGTTGTCGGAACGACTGAAGTACCAAACCATATGCAGGCAGGTAGGCATTCCCCTTGGTTTCGACACATTGGCTCAGCCACAGACAGCTGATTTACTATCAGAATATAGTATATAGGCATCGATGTAGTTTTAGACTTTCGATGCTTTGTCTCCGCAGTGGTTGTTGGCGAACGGAAATACTTATGATGATCATGACAGTGTAAACCATGTCTCGAGCGAGCGAGCCTCCAACAACTCCTGTGCGCCTTGCACGCGAAACCCCTCATTCCCATGAAGGTATGCACACCTCTAACCGCAAGTTCGAGGAGGCAGGTTGTGTAGTCGGGTGTCGGGCCGGCCCGAAGGCTTTTTTTTAACTTTTTTTTTTAAAAAAATTTAGCGTGCTCTCACTTAATTATATAGCCTACTTCATTAAGTAAGGGCTAGCCGCTACTACCTAGTGGACGCAGCATATTATCACTCGCACTATTCATTTGGCCTAGATGTTAGGCAAAAATCATCATGGGACGGTCTTAAGCAGCTCGGTGCACGGCAGAAGCGGTGCAGCAAGGTCAGTAAGCAGGTCAGAAAATTGCCGCGTAGCGGCGTGACACTGTTCGGTTCCAGCTGCATTGCACAGCCTCAAAGAGGGGTGTGAGGCATCCACCCACCCGCCTTCTACTGTACACCACAGGCATGGGCCCAAGGTCCCGGCAAAGTAGGCAAGTCACTTGTCAGACATGCCTAAAGCTCATTAACAAGCCAACGGCCGGCACTACCTTGATTGACAATGCCAATCTCGGCTGAGGTAAAAGGATGTAGAGTCTAGTGTCAGAACCAACAAAGCGAAAAAGTGGTTGCTGTACATAAAGCTTTCCCATGCTGGGCAAAAACACGGTCAGTGCAACCCTGCAACCCAGACATTGTCGCGTACGAATGTGCACTGTAGGGCCACGAGGTGTGAGCCACCGGACCTCGCTGGTTGGCGCCCCCAGGACAATGCTCACAGGATTTGAGCCGGCTCCTGCCACTGGTTGCGGGCCCTGTTTTTCAAAGCATATTGAAGATCCAACAGCTGGAGACATGGCAAGCATATAGTCCGCCACTGCCCTGCTGTAGTGTGGACACAACTCCTATGGCAAACATGTAAGTCACCAACCCGTTGATGCCCTCATGAAGTGAAGCGCTGCCAGCTTGAAGACATGCAGATCACCAACCGTTGCGCAGTGATACATAGTGAACTGAAGCACTGCAGCTTGCAAACATGTAGGTCGCCACCAACCCTTTTGCGTGATGCCGTAGTGAACTGAAGCACTGCAGCTTGCAAACATGTAGGTCACCAACTCTTTCGCGTGATGCCGTAGTTAACTGAAGCACTGCAGCTTGCAAACATGTAGGTCGCCAACCCTTTCGAGTAGGTCTCGAATTCTTGCAGCGAGGCAGTGGCATGACGAAACTGCCAACATGACACCGCAAAGTCCCAGGCAATCCGCTCGAGCAGCGGAGGGAAACAGCTATGACAGCTGTATGCACCCAGCATGCCGGAACTCCATTGCAAAACAAAGCGGATGACACTACTCCCAATTATCAGCCGACTCAGCCACACTAAATGGAAAGACCTGGGCCCGTGGCTAGGCAAAAATCATCAAAAAGCACCGACCACTCAACGACCGCTCCCGGGAGTTGAGATCGAGGGATCGATGTGCAAGGGTGGCTGACGGTTGGGCATGTTGCAGACGGCATTGACATCGACAACACACACACACACTTTTACAAAGGGCTGTAGGTTGCTTAATTTTTCCAAGACTTGAAGACCTCTATTTAGACCAGCCACACAACCTGATCATGTTCTTCCAATTATGGTGCTAGCGGTATACAGGCTTGTTAGACTTTCACTCGGTTGCCAATGTTTGATCAGGTCTCAGGTGACGAGAGCACAAGAACCTTTTTAAGCTCATATGAACTAGGCAAAAAGCCATGGATAGTTGGTCTGTTGCTGAGCACATTGACAGCACTCTCACCGTGATCATGATCAGAGCTAAGCGGGCAGCGACGTCGTAATTGACAGCCATCATAGTATTTACTGGCCATTCAATTGACCTTACCATGCAGCTTGGTGCTGTGAAAAGGCTACATCGAGGTTAGGTAGCAACGGCCTGTACACAAGTCTGTTGGATGCGCGCCAAACAATCCTATGTTTGCTTCACCTTGTGTTGATGAATCAAGGGTTCATTGCAGGCCAACGAATGTAAAGACAATGATCTATAGGCATCTATAGGCGTCATTCCTCTATTTGTTCCAACCCATCTCAGCCACAGGGAGCCTTTGAGCTACATCTCGTTCGGCAGCCTAGACGAGGATTATTTTGAAAACGGTGTTTTAGGGTGTTTTTGATCGGTTGGGACTTGGGGTGGATGGAATGTGGACTTTGCAACTAAGTCTTGAACTCGAGTGTCAGAGTCCATGAGCGCACCAGATGCGATCAGTGTTGCTTTGAGTGCAGCGCCCTCCGCGTAGGATTATACAGTCCGGGTAGCCAGTGTAGGCTTCCTGTGGCAATGCTTATTGAACATATATAAGGGGCACCTACCAGTTCACTGGCGAGACAAAGATGCCAGCTTGTGGTAGGCAATGACACACGTCGTACAATTGTACACAAACTTTGACAGCTGCCTTTTCGGTTTCACTCAGCTGTTGTTGATAACCACGTGTGCCATTTCCATGGGCTGGGTTAGAGGCTCATACTTGGCAAAATGAAGAGGTTTGCAACAACCAGTAACTCAGGTTCAGGAGTTATTCTCTGCTTCAAGCATTAGGGAGCAATCGCTTCAAGCTGGTTGGAGTCCTGGAGACCTGGAGATCGTTTTTTTTGAATATCTGTACAGGGTCCAATTCAGGACAATGTCAAAAGTTGGAAATCACTGTACCCGAATGATCCGGAACTTTGACATGTGGAATTCATAGAGCGTATAAAATGCATTCGAGGGACCTCTCACGGGTATTGTGCCTGTTCATCATCGAATGTGGGTGTCCAAATGTTCGACGTACAGTAGTTGGAAAATGCAGAAATATATATATATATATAAGTCTTGGATTCCATTTCAATGTTGACAGTTCTGTCCTGCCCAATCTGCTTGGAGGGCTGTTTTCTCAAGCCCCTGCAGCAGGCAGAAATGGAAACGCGCCTGCGCGCTGCTGTGACGGAGCCAGTGAAAACGATGGGCATGAATGGGGTGCCAACATGGTCCTAAGCCTTGAGGGAAATGGTGAGTATGTATATTGCATCATCGATTATTTGATGACTTTGCATTTTGTTTATTGGTGAGAATGCTGTAGTTCTCCAGAATTGCCTGACCGTGCTTGACCTTTTGCGTTTTAGCTTTGTCTCTACAGTAGACATACATTTCATTTGTGCGATTCTTATCTTGTGTATGTATATGAGCAACCACACTTATTCAGTCTTTACAAAAAGTAGTCTACCGCATGCTCTATGTGTTTGTCCATCATCGTTGGTGAACAAGATAGGGCCCCCACATAAACGACATACCTTTTTCGATGACCGAAAAGTAGTCTGAACGAGATACTGTGATTTGCTACTAAAGTAATCTGAACGAGATAGTGCGAGATAAGGCCCCCACAAAATAGATATTGTGTAGTTGAGTTTAGTAATGAATGCTGCTGTTCATTCATATGATTGACAAAACGTTGTTTAAAACACAAATATCCCGGCAAGAGACCCCAAACAGTGTGTGTGTGTGAGGTCTAGAGGTGTAGCAGCAGAAAGTCTAGAGTTCTAGACGCATTGGGCTTCAGAGAGGTGATGGTGGTGATGAAGGTGGAGATCGCGGTGATGGGGTGATGGTGGCGGTGGTGGTGTCGAGTGAGTGAGTGTGTGTGTGTGACTGTGAGTGTGACTGTGTGTGAGTGTGAGTGTGAGAGAGAGTGAAAGTGAGAGTGAGAGTGAGAGGGAGAGTGAGAGTGAGAGTGAGAGTGAGAGTGAGCGAGTGAGAGTGAGCGAGTGAGAGTGAGAGTGAGAGTGCGAGTGCGAGTGCGAGTGCGAGTGCGAGTGAGTGAGTGAGTGAGTGAGAGAGAGTGAGCGAGTGAGAGTGAGAGTGAGTGAGTGAGAGTGAGAGTGACGAG